CTTCTATAAATTTATTAGCAAATAGATTCCTGCAGTATATAAAAAGAATAATACATCACAACCAAGTGGAGTTTATTCTGAAAATGCAAGTCTGTTTTAACATTTTCAAATCAATTAATTTACCATATTAACAAACTAAAGAAAAAAATTATGACTATATCAATAGATGCAGGAAAAACACTTGGAATTTTTTTTTCTTTTTTTTTTAACTTTTAAGTTCAGGGGTACTTGTGCAGGATGTGCAGGTTTGTTACATAGATAACCATGCGTCATGGGGATTTGCAGTATAGATTACTTCATCACCCAGGTATTAAACCTAGTATCCATTCGTTATTTTTCCTGATTCTCTCTGTCCTCCCACCTTCCACCCTCTAATAAGCCCCAGTGTGTGTTGTTCCCCTCTATGGAAGGTTCTTAACCTGACGAAGAGCATCTATTAAAAAATTTATAGCTAACATATTTAATGTTGAAAGACTGTATTATTGATTGCTACATAACAAACTACCCCAAAGCTTAGTGGCCTAAAACAACAATTTTTTTTGGTCATAGTTTCTGTGGGTTAGGAATTTAGAAATGACTTTGCTTGATGGTGCTTGCTCAAGGTCTCTCATGAGGCTGCAGGCAGGGTATCCACTGGGGTTACAGTCATCTGAAGGCTTAACTGGCACCAACGAAGCTGATTGCAACCCCACTTTGCTCACACATGGCTATTGTCAGGACGCCTCAGTTCCATGCTATGTAGGCCTCTCATAGGTGCTTGAATGTCTTCACAAGTCACCTAACTTCCCCCAGAGCAAGTAACCCAAGAAAGAAAGCAAGGAGGATACTATAATACTTTATATGTTCTAAGCGCATGTCACATACCATCTCCTCTGTCACATTCCATTGTTAGAAGCAAGTCAGTCAATAGAATTCACACTTAAGGAAAGGGGATATTGACTTCCCATTTTAAAGGAAGTAGTACCAAAGAATGTATGGACTTTTATTTAATATCACCACAAAGATTGAGTAGGATGTCTGTACTTATTAATCCAATTCAACATCATATTTGAAGTTATAGCCAGTGTAATATGTCAATAAAAAGAAATGAAAGATAAGTTGATGTAAAAGGGAGAACTCAAACTAACTCTACTAGAAGAAAATGTAACTGTCTACATAGAAAACCCAGAAAGAAACAACAACCAAAAAAACTCATAAAATGAATAATTTAGTTTAGCAAGGTCACAGTATACAATGTTAATATTTTAAATATTGTATTTCTATCTACTAGCAATGAACAATTAAAATAAAAATGTTTAAGTACCATTTACATTAGCACCAAAAAATAAAATAGTTACAAATCTAACAAGATATGTGTAGAATCTTTCTGTTGAAAACTGAAAACACTGATAAAAAAAAAAAAGAAAACCTAAAAAAGTGAAAACATGTATTGTGTTCATGAATTGGATGACTTAATATTATTAATATGCTAATTCTTCCAAAGTTAACCTACTGATTTAACACAATCCCATTAAAAATCTCATCAGAAATTTTGTAGATACTGACACACTGATTCTAAAATGTACAAAAGATATAGAAAATATTTTAGATGTAGCTAAAATCTTTTTGAACAAGAATGAATAATGTTGGAAGACTCACATTACCTGGTTTTGAGATTCGCTTTAACACTACACTAATCAAGACAGCACAGCATTGGCAAAAGAATGGTCAAATCAATCAATTAGACAGAATTGAGAACCCAGAAATATACCCACACAAATATGATCAATTGCTTTTTGACAAGGGGGCAGAGGCAATTAAATGGTGAAATAACAGTCTTTTTAACAAATGGCACTGAAACAATTGGGTATCTATATTCACAGGTATGAATTTCAACCTATGCCTCTCACCTTATACAAAAATTAACTCAAAATAGATCACTAACCTACATATAAAATATAAAACTATAAAACTTTTACAAGAAAGTATAAAATAAGGTTATTGTGACCTTGGGACCTTAGTTAGGCAAAGAGTTCTTAGACATGAACCAAAAGCACAGTACATAAAAGAAAAACAATGATGAATTGGATCTTACTCAAATTAAAACTTTTTCTCTGTGAGAGACACTGCTAAGAAAATGAAAAAACAATCCGCAGATTCAGGAGAAGGAAGTTTCTAAATTATATATCTGAAAACAATCTTGCATCCACAACATATAAAGAACTCTAAAAACTCAACAATAATAAAGCAAGCAAACCAATAAAAATTTAGCAGAAGATTTAAACAGACGCTTCAATAAAGGTGATAAACATATGGTAAAATAGATGCTCAACATCATTAGTCATTAGGGATATGCAAAATAAAACAGTAATGAGATACTGCTACATACCTATTTGTGGAAATACTAGAGCTCTCATACATGGTTGGCAAGAAGCCAAAGTGGTACAGCCACTTCAGAAAATAGTTTGGCAATTTCTTACAGAGGTAAGCACACACTTTCCAAATAACCGAGCAATCCCAGTCCAAGGCATTTACCCAAAAGAAATGAAAATTTATTGTATTAGTTTTCTAGGGCTGTCATAACAAATTACCACAAACTTTGTGGCTTAAAACAACAGAAATTATTCTCTCACAGTTCTGGAAGCTGGAAGTCCAAAATCGAGGTATCAGCAGGGCTGCTCTTTTTCCAGAGACTGTTCTGTGATTCTGGCTTCTGGTAGACACAGACTTCCTTGGCTTGTGCCTCCTTGCCTCTGTCATGTCACCATCTCCACATGTGTCTTCTGAGTGAATCTCTTATTAGGATATATCATTGGATTTAGAACACACCTGGATAATTCAGGATGATCTCATTTTAAGATTCTTAAATACATTAGCAAAGACCCTTTTTCCAAGTAAGGTAAAAACATAGGTTCCAGTGATTAGGACATGGACACATTTTGGGTGCCCTATTCAGCCCATTACACTCATCTTCACACAAAAATCTATCCATGAATGTTTATAGCACCTTCATTCATAAATTCCAAATGAGAAACAACTCAAGTGTCCTTCTTTGGGTAAATTGATAAATCAACTGTGGCACAATGCAGGAATATAATACTACACCGTAATAAAAAGAAGCAAATCATTGATACATCCAATGATATGGATCAATTTCAAATGCCTTATGCTGAGTAAAAGATAGACCAAAAAGCTACATGCATATGACATTCTCTGGAAGACAAAACTATAGGGACAAAAAACAGAACAGTCGTGATCAGAGGCTGAGGGTGGAAGGAGTGATTGACTGCAAAGGGGAAACATGGAAGAATTCGGGGAAGGAATAGAATTGTTTTATAACTCCATGGTGGTGGTAATTGGATGACAATATATTTTTTAAACTCTTATAATGGTACATCACACAAAAATGAACTTCCCTATATGTAAATTTAAAATCCCATATTTACTATGAAATACTAAGGCTGGGACTTTGCAAACCAACTTTTCCTCTGTCAGCTGAACCCCTTTTAGGCTCTGCTAATTGAGGGTCCTAAGAGGAGACAAGAGGCATCTGGAATAAGAAGAAACAGGTTCCTTCCAATTTCGACTTTTATTTCTGTTGGAATCACCCACAGAGATGCTCTACCCTGGCAGTGAGTTTGTTTCCAGTTTTAAGTTTTGTTTTGTTTTTCCCTACTTCTAGAATCGCCTCAGAGATACCAGAGATAACCCCTCAGAGATACCAGCATCTGCCAGCTTCCCATCTTGATTGGTCTGAGAATCCTCCTGAAGGCTCTAGATCCTGCTTACCTCCCCTCTTCTCTTTATTCCCATAGACTCGAGGATGGTGGCCTCTTCCTATGGTTTCTGTCTCTAAATTACTCTTCTCTTTCGCTTTGTCACTACACTAATACTGATTTAGCTAACACCTTTTATTAAATTATTTCTGTTAAAATTACTGAGGTAGTTCCTGTTTTCCTGACTAGAGACTGACTAATAAAAAGCCAGTGTTTCCTATGCCCTACAAAGTACTACATAATCTGTCTTTGCCTTCATCTACTCTCTGGTCTCATCCCCTATTTCTTTTCCCCATCACTCACTCGAGATCCAACTGCTGATTCACAGGACATAACTGTCAAACCTAACCACAGGGATGCAGAATGTAGAACTCTTTATTGGACAAATAACTTAGTCTCTCCAACAAATAAACAACAAGGCAGAAAATAGATGAGGGAGGAACCTCTAATTTGTAAGAGCCTTAAATTAAAACTTATTATTAACCAGCAGCAATCTGAGCCCTGGTTTCACATATATAAAAATATATGTAAATTCTTCATCTTATCATTTATATTACATGATACTTGGAGAATTTGAACCATGACTGATGTGTAATATTAAAGAATTTTAAATTATTTATTTAAATAAATACATTTAAATACATTTATTTAAATAAATGTATTTAATACATTTAAATACATAAATAAATACATTTATTTTAGTTGTTAAATGAAATTGTGATTACATTTTAAAAGCCCTTCCCATTTGGAAATACATAATGAAATATTTATTTATGGATATATTGACACGATAATACACTGGAGGAAGGGATATAGATGATACACAGGCATAACAACAGTAGCAACTGATCGTTTTTGAAGCCAAGAAATGGGTACAAAAAATTCATTATATTATGTCAAGACTAGATTGTTTTTATGTTTAAAATTTGTTATGCATCTCCAAAATCTGAGGGTCTACCTTATCAGGCAACAAGGCCGAAGAATGGCTCACAAGTCTCTGAAAAACATCAGGAGCCACTGTTGAAAGGCATATAGTGCAGTGATTTCCACTGTAAGCCCTGGAACCCAATACCTGGGTCCACCACTATCTATCTGTGTGTGACCTTGGACTTCTCCCTGCCTCTATTTCCTCAGAGGTGAAGGGACATGAATAATAGCATCTACTTCATGGTTTTGTCATGAAGATTAAATGAATTCACAGGTATAAAGCACTGTTTTAAAATAACATCTGGCCCATACATAGTAAGCACTCAAAAATATTTATTATCATCATCATCATCATTATTATTATTACATAGGAAAACAAGTTGTAATGCATCACCAAGGTTTTGAAACAAATGTATCCAAAATATGCTTTTAATCTTGATGAAGTTCACAAATGGCACAATATTGACATTTTCTTAAACAAATTATACAGTCATGTTCTTAGATAACAAGGCACAGCATCACCATTACCATGTGTCCTCAGAGACCACAACAGGCAGTGATTTCCTGTCCCCCTAAGGTTTGGCAGAGCTGCATGATCAACAGGATGGCTCTCAAAGAACCAGTTTGCTATCAGATAAGTCAATGAGAGATGCCATCACATTTACTGGACATAGAATTAAATATAAAAATGATGCACAATAAATATGGAATTAGCTTATTTTGCGTTCAGTTTCATTCCTTTCAAGTGACAAAGGTGCCTTTTTTTCAGTATCTTAGGAGGCAAACATGTATATCTTCCATGGGGCATTCTCACCAAGTTGTTGTCAACAGAAATTAATAGAAACGGTGAGTTCAGTTTCATGATAACCTGAGATGAGGGGAAAAAAAAGAAGAAGAGGGAGAAGAAGGGGAGGAAAAAGAAGAGAAAAAGGAAGAAGATGATAAAAGGAGAAGGAAGAGAAAAAAAGTAGAAGACAAGTCATGAATAATCACAATTATTACTAAAAAAATACTAATTTACAGAAGTGCTTCTTTAAACAGCATTTATGAATTATGGATATGAGAGGTAAGCAGGCTTGTAAGGCAAATGAAGACTAAAATAATTCAACTGCATCTATTAATCTTGGTAGTAGGTTATGATTACAGCTCATCCATCTGAATCTGTAGTCATGGGTTCAGCCCTTTCTGAAACCAGCCTAATTAATGAAGACTGGCCCTGGTTAAGGTTTGCAGACCTCTCCCTTTCTGAATTCAGCAAGCTTCTTTTTTTTCCTTCCATTTATCTTCTCAGAAAAATGACACAGAATGCTAGGGCATTCTGACATCAAGCTAGGTTCTAGAAAGAACTCACTACCTCAGGAGGAAGAATGTAACTGGACAGAAGGAACCTAAAGAACCTACCAGAGCAGAGGTTTTCAAAATGTAGGTTTTAACTCCAAGTCCCTTCCCCCTCTCATCCCATAGCATAAGGGCAGTTACCTTTACCTTCTTCCTGGAGTCATTCATCTGCTCAGGCTTGAAGGTCCCTGCGGCGCCTGCCAAAGGCTTTGGAACCCACATTGGTGGGCACGAAGTTGCTCTTCACCATGCCCCCTGATCTGCTCAGCAAGCCTGCCAGCCGATGAGTCACACAGGTGGCAGTGTTGCAGGCTCTCTTCTGGGCAGCAGAGCTGATTTGCAAGACAGTGAAAGAAGAGAAGACCTGTGAGTGAAAAGCTGGGGGAGGAGGCCACCTCATGGGACCTCCGTAAAGAGAACTGCAACGCTTCGACATACCACCTAACAGTAAGTGTTTCTTGAAACTGCAATTATCAAAGCTGTTAGGGGAAATGACTTGGCAGTCTTTGCCAGGAGCTCTGCCCAAAGACCATCATGAAAAGAAAGAAGAAAAAACAATTCCAAGCCATGGGGCATAGGCTGAAACCCTGCACTTACCATTCAAGGAAGAAGTGGGCAACAAGGCCCAGACCCACCCCAAGATACACAAGGAGTATACAGAGACCATACCCCAGCCACAAGCACCAACACTACCCCTTACCACAGGAAAATGAAATTCCCTAAAGTCTTCAGAAGAATCTCAGAGAACAGGGTGTGCAGCATCCTCTCCCAGAAGTACTTACCAGCTCCTTCACACACTGTTCTTGCTGCTTGAGCTGGGTCACAGAGATGACCCACCAAGCCCCATATCCAGCTACCCTGAAGCTAAGGATACTTCTGAGCATAGGCACTGGACACCCACAAGCCTTGGATGTGGACCAGAGCAACGAGAACCACAGCTCAGTTCCTTTTAGAAAAATAGATTGATTCATCAAATGCCAAGGCATTAAGGATGTGCTTATTTTATGATAGTACATTTAGAAGCAGAAATTGGATGGCTCTGTCATAACACCCTCTACAGTCTCAAGAAGCTTCCCTCATTTTCTCTTATCTCTAATGTGGTCAGTAAGTTCTGCTGTCTTCCCTTCCATCCTGAGGTCTTCAAAACATTCTTTGCCATAAGCAAAGTTACCAATACCAGCATGAAGACAAATCAGAGAGGAATCCACATGCATCAGGTTCATAAAGTGGAGCAAGAAGGGGAATCAGGAGAGGTGAGAGGAGTTCAGCTGCCATCAGGGGTACCCTGAAGTGGAGTAGTGGTCCCTCTGCAAGCTGCTGGCTATGTCTCTATTCTCGCCAGGCATTTCAGGCCCGAAGTTGATGCCAGGGAACATATGAAAGTTGTTCAGGTACTGCAAGTATGTGCCCTGCAGACAGGCACTCAGATTACTACACTACTTAAATCTAGGACTGTTTAAGCTGCAAGGGAAGGACATGCCAGACAGTACCATGCACTAGGGTCTGTCCCCATGGGCAGTCACTCAGAAGGTTGGACCAGGCAGGGGACATGTCGAGTGGGATCAGGTAGGGCAGGCAGGAGGGCAGCTCACACACACTCCATTAGGAAAGCTGAGAGGGTCAATGGGCCAGGGCCGTGTAGAGAAGGGCTGAATGGGGAAGGATGATTTTTTTCTGGAATTCACATAATATTCAGTCCCTCACGCTCAAGAGAGGTGGGTGAGATATTGGGTCTCTCCCTGGCTTCACCCTTACCAGTCTTAACTCATCCAATGCTAGGAGATCTCCCAGTACTACAAAAGCAATTCCCACAGTGAACGATTCCACACCTCCCCATTTCATTTCCTATCAGTTTTCAGAAATTGAGTTTTTTCTATGTCTAGAAAAAGCTTCTACATCTATGTCCTAACAGCTTTCAGAAACGGAGCTTTTTATTGTGTCTAACCACAGTCCCTCCAGATGCACTGGGACCTCTGTCTCCCTTGGAACTTGAGAAAGGGAGCCCGCTGGACAAATCAGCTTGCTGGACTCCTGGTCAGTGTGTTCTCTCCTGCCTTTTGGGATCTGCGTTCTTGGTATGCTGCGGGGAGAGGAGGCCCTGTGCTGGGCGCTTGGGGAGCCTCACCTGTAGCCCCCTGTCTCCTGCTCCTGCTCCAGCTCACTGGCCTTCATCTGCACATAGTCCTGCACCAGTGCAGCCAGCAGGAGGCGCGCTTCCTCTTCACTGAGCGTGGCCGGATCTGGGCTGCTCTCCAGGGCTGACCTGTGGAGGGGAAGCAAACTCATTGCAGGCTGTGAGCCCCTGCCTGCCCCTCCCCAGGATAGGCAGCCAGGCTTCCTGGTCTCTGCTTCTTCCCCTGGGGATGTGGCCACCGCGACTCCCAGGGGACAGGGCATGAGGCCAGAGTCCACCTGTGGGCACTGATTCACCAGGAGCCACGCGTGACTTCAGAGGCACAGAGCTGTCCGGTCCTAGGGGCAGTGGGAGCAGAAGGCGCCCCTGGCTCCAGGCTGTCTCACCTGAATGGCGCCGCCTGGAGGCTGCCCGCCTGGTAGAGGACCAAGATACTGAGAGCCAGGAAGAGGGAGAACTTCTGGAAACCCATGTCGCCTCTCTGTAAAGGAAGGATGACGTTACTACTGCACCATCACAGATCTAGGTTCCAGTCCTGCCTCTGCCACAACCGCCATGTGACCTCAGGCAAGTTACTTCACCTGCCTGAGCCTCTGTTCCCTTCATTTGCAGAAAGGGCTGCTGTGAATCTCAAGAGATATATTGCAGTGAGTGAATGGCTTGATAAAGCAGAAAAAGGTGTCCTAGGGGAAGGGTGGAGAGAATAGATGAATTTTGGTTCCATTTTGTTGAAGGCCAGGCAGAAGCCACGCGCGCCCGTGCACACAAACCCACACTTCTGCCCTGATTTATGCCGAAACCAGGCGTGGACGCACCTTGCTGTAGACCTGCTCTCCCCTTGCGCCTGTCTTCTCGCCTTCTCCTCTGCTAGGCTTCGCGCCAACGCATGCGAGGGGAAGGTGGGAAGGGTGGATTAGAAAGGAGCGCTCATCTCTCAGTCTTGGAACTGGGGAAATTTTTAACATGCCAGGTACGGGTGTCTCAGGACTCGCCCGCAAAGCCGCCCTCTACCGGAGCGCACTTTAGCAGCAGATGCTGAGCGGCAGCTCCGCGAGGTGAGCGCCCAGGGTTCTAGTCGGCTAACAACACTGCCTCAGATCCGGACCGGAATCCCGGGAAGGCTCACCAGGAGGCGCCTCAGAGGAAAGCTCAGGGTTCCGACCTCCCAGGGACGAAAAATGACCCCGAAGGACAAAGACCGCTCAGTGCGCTCCGGGACCCAACTCAGCAGAATTCTGCGCTCAGCCCGGCCCCAACGCCAGGGTCGCAGACCCGCCTACCTCGGCTCGCAGCGCTTCTAGCGCCCACGCTGGGCCATGGGGATGCTTGGGCTCCTCTTGCACCGGTAGGAGAAAATGCCGGGACAACCCTAACCGCTCGCCTTCTCCGCAGCCTGGAAGAGAGCTAGGACCACCGCTGTAAGGTAGGACCAGATGGCGGCGGAGAGGCAGACAGGCAGATGGAGCAAACTGGGTGATGGAGCAAACTGGATGAACTAATCGAAGAAGCAGGTTATTAGAGCGAGCGGAATGGGGAATGGGAAGTTCCTCACCTGGAGACGAGTTTCAGGGCAGCGCGAGCGGCGGGTCGACCCCGGATGAACACCACGCCAGCTGTGCGCGCCTTCCCTGCGGAACCCCGGCTCTTATTACAGAGATAGCGGGAGGGGGGTCCCCACCAGCCCGCGTGGCCAATCCAAAGTGGCCAGGACTAGCCAATCAAAGGACCGACCGAGCTCTGATTGCGTCATAGCTCGCACTGCCTGCACTGGTACTCTGGAGCGCCGGCAGTCCGCCCCCTGTCATTTTTTTCATTGAGGTCATTGCTTGGGAAGCTGGAGAGCCTGGGAGAGTACAGAGAACTTTCACCTAACTAAGAGTCGGGGCAAGTCGAGGATAGTTTGGCGTCACCTACAATGAAGGGCCAGAGCTTCTCTCACCTCCTTGGCTCCTAAACTCCTGCCTCGCACTCCCTCCTGTCACGGCAGTGAGGGACCCGAGTCCAGGCACCTGAACACCCAACGAGGTTGAGCAGTAGTCCTGGGTTCTAAAGGGACCACAGCTGAAAGAGCCCACCGCAGGGAAGGAGTGGTGGAGGAGAGAAAAGGGGAGGGAAAAGGGGAGGGGGGTCCTCAAAATTTGATCTCTTTGGACCACCTGGGGTGCTTCTCTGGATATCGTCCGACCCCTCGAGCCCTGGCACCCTAGGCCCCAAAAGAAGGCTGTTTTGGTGCCAGTCTGGCAGCCAACCTTTCTCCACCTCACTCCTCTGGGATGGGCAGGAGCGGAAGAGAGGTTGGGGAGAGTGCTAAACTGACACTGTATCTCCAAATCCTCGACTGCGGGTCCAGCATCTCCCACCCCAAGCCAGGACCCTCCACTGCCGCGCCGCAGCTGCCCTGCAACTCTGCCCCCTGTTTGCCAAGCTGCCTGGCGGAGGTGGTCTATGCCTGGGTCTCTATCTGTCTCGCTCCACACCCCTACCCCACTTCGCTGAAGCAGCTGAGAGCTGAGCGCGCTGGGGTCCAGCTGCCACCCGCGCAGCGGAGCGGGTGCTGCAGCCCACAGGTCAGCCCAAGAATTTCCACACCCGTTCTACTCGCGACTGCAGACCAGCCGGTGCGCGCATTACCGCAGGATCCCCGCCACACGCTCTGCTTCTGCATTCATAGACAGTCCAGCAGACAGCCAGCACTCACTGGAACAGATGCGCCCTCACCAGCCGCTCCCAAAAGGGCGTGCGCGCAGCAACCCAAACTAACCACACCCAGACCCGAAAGCAACCCTGTGTATTTCTGTTTCCAAAAACAGGCGTGTTTTATGCAAACGGGGGTACATACTGTCCCCCAAACACGCACACCGGCACACGCACATCCACGCACACGAACTCAGCCTATCCGTTTTTTCTTAAGGAAAGCCGGATTCTGGGAGTCGGCGCTGCCAGCTCTTCTTGCTCCCGGGATCCAGAAGATCCCAGCTTTGGCAGAATAGGCTAGGAGGGAGCTGGGGGTAGGGGCGGTGGCAAGAAAGAAAGCGGCGCCTCTCACCACAGCCCCCAGTCCCGGGCCTCAAGTTCGCCCTTTGCCGCTTGGCAGCAGCGACCCTAAATAAGTCCGTCGGCGCCCCCTGCACTCCTGGAGAGAGCGTTCCGGAAACCTTGCTGGAGGCTGCGGGGCAGGAAGCAAAGCCAGGGGCTAGCGGAACCCCTGCAGATGATGCTCACTGTTTCTGTGGGTCAGAAGGAAGTTCAGGGGATGTCTGTCTAGGCCCTCTGGGTCCTTTTCGTGTGGCAGGACCCAGCTGGTGGGACTAGGAAGGGCTGGCCTCCAGCACCGGTGCAAAGGAAACTCCAGGTAACACCCACGAAGAATCCGGACCACGGACTTGGGTGACCCGCCCGGCCTGCAACTCAGATGCGCAGAGTGCACTGAGTCAGGGTGACCTACAGTCCCCCCCTCCCCTGGGAAGGCAGCCAGAACTGTTCTAGAAGTAGCTCCAGCCTCTGGCGAACTCGAAGTAAGGCAGGAAGACTTCCAGGACCTTTGTAGTACCACACCAGGAACTCCAGCTCTCTAAGGACTATTTCTACGTATGTGAAGGTTCTCTATGTCTAGACTGTTGGACTCGCTTCTGTGTTTTTGGTTCTGCTTTGTTTTTTAATTTTTAATGTGTGTGGGTGCATACTAGGTGTATATATTTATGGGGTACATGAGATGTTTTGATACAAGTATACATTGTAATAATCACATCATGGAGAGTAGGGTCTCTGTCCCCTCAAGCATGTATCCTTTGTGTTACAAACAATCCAGTTACACTGTTTTAGTTATTTTTAAATGCACAATTAAGTTATTATTGACTATAGTCACCCTGTTGTGCTAGCAAATGGTAGGTCTTATATATTCAATTTTTTTGTGTACCCTTTAACCATTCCCATCTCTATCACGAACATCCAGCCTCTGGTAACCATCTCTACTCTCTAGGTCCATGAGTTCAGTTGTTTAGATTTTTAGATATTGGGCTCACTTTTGGATGCAATGAGGGACAGCAAGGCTACCTTCACTTGGGGGCCCTTTTATCGAAAGCCCTGCAATTCTAGGGGAGACTTCTGTGTCCTTGTCCCTGATTCCAGCCCAGATAAATGGCTGCTTAGTGGAAAGGCAAAGTTGGGAGGTGTTACCTGCATGAAGGCCGTGCCCTCTACCCTGCTTCTTTCTCGGCCACTACCACCCTCTCTGAGGTCTGGCAGAACTGGTAGCCCAGGAGTTCTGGGAAGCACCACTCTTCACGGGGCGCTTGGGCCAGCCTGGTGGGAGAGGTCTGGAAGGCCCCAGACCTTGAAGCAGTGGCCTCCCCAGCCTGTCAATGTTATCAGTGGTGTTCAGGGCCCAGGAAGCAAGCTGGGAGCTCAAGAGGCATCACAATTGGTATTTGGCCTCCCAAGAAGCCCAAAAATAATTACTTGAAGGGAAATTTGAGCCTTTGGAACTGGGGCTCAAAAGCTGGCACTATCTCCAAAGACCAGGTCTGTGTCACTAGGACTTTTCTGAAGTGTTGGGACAGATGGCCATACTGCCATTGTTGTGGGAAGTCAGGGACCCCGAACAGGGGGACCAGCTGAAGCCATGGCAGAAGAACATAAATTGTGAAGATTTCATGGACATTTATTAGTTCCCCAAATTAATACTTTTATAATTTCTTATGCCTGTATTTACTGTAATCTCTGAACATAAATTGTGAAGATATCAGGGACATTTATCACTTCCCCAATCAATACTCTTGTGATTTCCTATGCCTGTCTTTACTTTAATCTCTTAGTCCCATCATCTTAATAAGCTGAGGATGTATGTTACCTCAGGACCCTGTGATGATTGCGTTAACTGCACAAATTGTTCTTAAGCATATGTGTTTAAACAATATGAAATCTGGGCACCTTGAAAAAAGAACAGGATAACAGCGATGTTCAGGGAACAAGGGAGATAACCATTAGGTCTGGCTGTCTGAGAGCCGGGTGGAACAGAGCCATATTTCTCTTCTTTCAAAAGCAAATAGGAGAAATATTGCTGAATTCCTTTTCTCAGCAAGGAACAGCCCTGAGAAAGAGAATGCATTCCCAGGGGTAGGTCTCTAAAATGGCCACTCTGAGAATGTCTGTCTTTTACAGTTGCAGATAAGGGATGAAATAAGCCCCAGTCTCCCGTAGCGCTCCCAGGCCTATTAGGATGAGAAAATTCCTGCCTAGTAAAATTTTAGTTAGACCGGTTGTCTGCTGTCAAATCCTGTCTCCTGATATGATGTTATCAATGACAATGCATGCCCGAAACTTCATTAACAATTTTAATTTTGCCCCAGTCCTGTGATCTCGCCCTGCCTCCATTTGCCTTGTAATATTTTATTACCTTGTGAAGCATGTGATCTCTGTGACCCACACCCTATTTGTACACTCCCTCCTCTTTGAAAATCACTGATAACAACTTGCTGGTTTTGCAGCTTGGGGGGCATCAGGGAACCTGCTGACATCAGAAGCCTCCCCCGGTTACCCAGCTTTAAAATTTCTCTGTTTTGTACTCTTTCCCTTTATTTCTCAGACCGGCTGACACTTAGGGAAATAGAAAAGAACTTATGTGAAATAACATTGAATTAGCGGAGGAGGGTTCCCCCAATATCTGGTGCACCAACGTGGTTTTTTCTTTTTCCCAAGTGCATGTGGGAACCAGATTCCCTTTGGTAGGTGCAGAGAAACGTCATTGGTTCACAGAAACGTTTGTTCGACTCCCTGACGACTGGTGAGTAGCCTGTGTATGGTCCAGGTTAACTATGGATCACATGGAGTCTAAAAATTATACTTATCTCTTCTATATTAAACTCCAGTTAAAACAGGGAAGGGTTTGAGTGCCCATGGAAAATATGGTCACTCTATTCAGGGCAGTGGGAAAATACTGTCCTTGGTTTCCCTAAAAAAGGAACCTTAGATGTAGACCTGTTAAAATAGGCAAAGGTTCGAGTACCTATGGAAAATATGGTCACTCCATTCAGGGTGGTGGAAAAATACCGTCCTTGTTTCCCCGAAAAAGGAACTTCCATGTGCATCGGTGTGAAGAGACCACCAAACAGGCTTTGTGTGAGCAACAAGGCTGCTTATTTCACCTGAGTGCAGGCGGACTGAGTCCAAAAAGAGAGTCAGCAAGGGAGATAGGGGTGGGGCCGTTTTATAGGATTTGGGTAGGTAAAGGAAAATTACAGTCAAAGGAGGCTGTCCTGGTGGGTGGGGGTGGGAGTCACAAGGTGCTCAGTAGGGGAGCTTTTGAGCCAGGATGAACCAAGAAAAGGAATTTCACAAGGTAATGTCATCAGTTAAGGCAGAACAGGCCATTTTCATTTCTTTTGTGGTAGAATGTCATCAGTTAAGGCAGGAACCGGCCATATGGATATGTACGTGCAGGTCACAGGGGATATGATGGCTTAGCTTTGGCTCATATGCCTGACAGAACTGTGTATGTAAAAGTATGGGATCTTGTTGGTACTTTCCAAGAACTGGTCTCAACAGAGAATTATGTTCCCATCACTGTTTGGGGTGATTGGGCCTTGGTTCATGCCATCCTAATACCTCCTCAACCTTCCTCTCCCACATGACCTTCATCATCTTATCAGCTTCTCCCTTTGTCTACTCCTCCCCCATTTAACGATACTGAGACTTCAATATCTAACTCCGGTGACTTGGGCTTAACGTTACCCCCTACTGATCTTACTTCTTTTCAGGAAGAGCCAGTACTTGAAGCTCCCATG